TGGGGGTGGGGGGTGGGCACAAGGGGTGAAGGGAGACATATATATGGTGATGGACAAACAAAAATGTACAACCCAAAATTTCACAATGTTAGAAACCATTAAAACATCAATAAAAAAAAAACAATTTTTAGAAATAAAGTGATAAATGATGTAAAAAAAAAAAAAGAATCCCTTCCTTGGGGCTCTCACAAGGCTGCAGTCCAAGTGTTGGTTGAAGCTTCACTAGGGGAGGATGTACTTTTAAGCTCACTCACATAACTGCTGACAGGCCTCAGAAGAGCCACTTCAAAGTTCATTTTCTGCTGTCAGGTGTTCGGTCCTCACTGACTGTTGGTAAGATACATTAGCTCCTTGCCACATGAGCCCCTCTGTGGGCTACTCACAATTTGTTAGCTTGCTTCCTCAAGAGCAAAGGTGGAGAGGGGCTGGCCTGGTGGCATAGTGGTTAAGTTCACGTGCTCCGCTTCAGCGGCCTGGGGTTTGCAGGCCCAGACCCCGGGCGTGGACCTACACACTGCTTATCGAGCCATGCTGTGGCAGGTGTCCCACATATAAAATAGAGGAAGATGTGCATGGACGTTAACCCAGGGCCAATCTTCCTCAACAAGAAGAGGAGGATTAGCAACGGATGTTAGCTCAGCGCTAATCTTCCTCACATGCACACACAAAAAAAGAGCAAAGGTGGAGAGAGAAAGGAATAGGGGAGGGACTCAGTAAGCACTTTTTCTTACTGCACTGTGAACAAATTGTTTCATTTGACTGTAATTTTGACTTTCCAAATTTCTGTCTTTTCATATTGTAAATTCCTCAATAGAAGAAACCATGCCTTTTCTGTATGACATCCCTCCTCTGAGAGTGTCAAAAGAATTTATAGCAGAGTCAACATATTTAATGTTACTCAAAGCCTCAGGAAAGGCACACTGACCTGTGCAAAGCCATCTAAATAGAACACCAATGTGGAATAAAAGACTGCAAACTGCACCAAGCTAACCATTCTATAGCCAATTCAGGAAGTTCAGAATTTTGATAGTGACAGTTTAATTATCTTAGGATATAATTCTAAGTATAACAAAGGAAGTGGTACTTGAATTAATGGCTCCAGGTATCTCGACCTCTTGTCTGTGCTATGGAAGGGAGCTATGGGCACCTAGCAATAGAAAAGGGGAGAGTGAATTCTCATCCAGCTCTACTCATCAGACGTTGCAGGATGGCAATACCAAAACCACCTGAGTCTCAGTTGCTCAGCGAAAATTAAAATACAATCTCTGCAGCAAACTCTTACATACCATCAATGGGTTCTCTATAGGAGAGATTCTCAACCTGTGACTATTGACAATTGTTGTTGTTAGCGCTGTCAGTCTGACCCCTGGCCACCCTGTGTACAGCAGAGTGAAACCCCGCCCGGTCTTTTCGCGCCATCCTCTCACCTTCCGGCACTGTATCAGACTGTGCTCCACTGCTAGTCATATGGTTTTCATGGCCAGTTTTTTCAAAAGTGGGTGCTCAGGTCCTTCTTCCTCAACACGCAGCCACCACGGTATGACAACCACAGACCAGCGGTGTGGTTCCCTGACCAGGAAATGAACTCTGGGTGCGGCACTCTCCGAACCTTAACCTCTAGACCAACAGGCCTGGCTATTGACAATTGAAGCCGGATAATTCTTTGTTGGGGGAGGAGGGACAGGGACTGTCCTGTGCGTTGTAGGAGGTTTAACAGCATCCCTGTCCTCTACCACTAGATGCCAATAGCTGCACGTCCCCCTTGCCGCCCCATTGCAAGCAACAAAAGTGTTTCTAGACATTGCCAAATGTCCCCTGGGGGGCAAAATTACCTCCCTTTGAGAACCACTTCCCTAGACAGTACTTTCCAAACTGAGAGGCACATCCTTTACTGGGTACCGAAATCAGTGTAGTGGGTACCAACCAGCATTTTTTAATGAAATCAAATTGAATAGAAAATATCAGAGCACTTAGACTGTAGTACACGTAATACATCGTGTGTGTATTGTGTTGCTATGTAAAATCTATTTCTTTTTTTTTCCTCAACTTCACTTTTTCTCTACAGAAACACGGATATGCCTAAGTAATGTGATGTGCATGAGTTGTTTCTTTTTAATATTCAGAAAAAAAGTAGTATGTTTGGTTTGAAAACTCTAAAGGAATTGTAGAAACTCTTAGACATTAGATGAGGCATCAAAACCCAGATTGAGTGTGACTGGTTTTCTCTCATTATTCATGTTAGAATTAAAGGATTCCTCCAGACTCTTGTCATTATGCTGTTCTTGCTCCTCTCCTATGGCTCCCTTCTCTTCCTGATGATGCTTCTTAATTCTTCTATATTTCAATAGAAACTTAACTGTGGGTGCCCAGAGCACAGCTGCAAGTACTCAATAAGAATGGCTGCTTTAAGGTCATAGACTTTATCCTAGCTAATCTAGTAGTCTATGATCCCAGCATGAACCTTCGTCCAAGCTTAACCAGGCCCTACTGTGCCCTTCATAAATATGTTCATGCCTTCCTGTCTTTATTATGCCTTTTCTCCTACAGTTCTTCCTGAACTCATATACTTATCGATACTACCCATCTTTCAAGGTCTCTCCAAGGCCTCTATGATGTAATACCTGACATTCCAGTACAAAATAATCCCTCCCTTCTCTGAACACCTTTTGTACTTTTTGTCCATACTGTAGAAGCCCTCTTAAATGATGTGACTGGGAACCATACTTTGGAGGTCACTATTAAAAAATTAGTGAAAGATGTGACACATCTTAAACATTTTGTCAAAACCTAAAAAATACAAATGTACATTAATTTGACAATCGTTTGACATAGATGCCAAAGCTTTTTCTTTGAGAACACATCTGCCAATGGAAGTTCTGTATAGTCAGTTACTATTTCAATTTGTTTCTTTAAAATAAAGAAAAAACGGGGCTGGCCCAGTGGCGCAACGGTTAAATGCGCGCGCTCCGCTGTGGCGATCTGGGGTTCGCAGTTTTGGATCCCGGGCGCGCACCGACGCAACGCTTGCTAAGCCATGCTGTGGCGGTATCCCATATAAAATAGTAGAGGAGGATGGGCACAGATGTTAGCTCAGGGACAATCTTCCTCAAGAAAAAAGGGGAGGATTGGCATCGGATGTTAGCTCAGGGCTAGTCCTCCTCACACACAAAAAAATAATAAAATAAAATAAAGAAAAAACTTAAAGACCTTTATAAATACATCTAAGAGCAGATTTCTTCAGATTATGTTTTTTCTCACTCTGTGGCAGTTTTTCCCCAATTCAACAAGTTTTTTAAAGCAACTAAACTTTATTCAGTCCTTCTGAAGTATTTGATTTAGTTTTCATAAACTGACTCCTGCTAAGTATGCAACCAATAGAACAGAGATATGGAGGTATCCCAGAGCAATCTAGCTGTGAGCATTCAGTGTGCCATCGGCATCAATCAGTATGTGGCGGGAATGAATGGCATGAGAAGGACAAGTATTTGTGGCGATTACCATCCTCATCTTTTCTAGACTCTTATCATCTCACTATCATCCCAAAGGAGAAGTATGGCTAGAGAAGGGGCAGGGTAAGTGGTCACTCACACTTGAGATCTGTATCCCAAAGTAGCACCTTACCAACAATTTTAAAGGTAATAACTGCACATTGATCTAAAAATTGCTTATACTAGTGCTTCTCAAACCATCTGTTGTGAAGTAACTTTTTTAAAAATTTGCAATTACAGACTGATGCTTTGTAAAATGCAATGAGAGCGATTACTAGAAAAATGAAACAAAAAAAGACATAAAATACAAGCCCCAGGTTTTTATTATTATTATTATATGCAACATACATAAAATTACTCAGTTAAATTGCTATAAAAGTAAATGTTTACTCTCAATTTCTGTATTTATCCCAGGCCAGTAACAGTTTGCGGACAGGTACTGGTTAAAGGACCTCACTTTGAGTAGCCGTAGGATATAATAAGACCTTAGAGGAAGTGAAGTTAATTATGCAATTGAAAAAATAGTAGCTAGACCCTGAGATGGGAGTAAAAGGGTATTATTTTTTTATGTCCTCACTCACCCACCAACCAAAAAGTGCAGGCTCTTGCTCATTCCCACACCCCTGTTGGAACCTGGCAAGTTCTAGCAGGCAATGGAGTGGAGATAGAGAGGCATCTCGGGTATAGCCTGGAGGCAACATTGATGTTCATGCCAGGGCTTCCTTAAAATCCCACTCCTATCCTCTTCTCCATTACCTACTTCAGAAATTGCCCTACTAGACCTAATGCACATTAAATAATTACTTGTTTAAAATTTGTCACTCTGTATAAAAGAAACCATGAGAATTGACAAAACTAAACTATGTTAAAAAAAACTTTCTTCTTGAAATTAACATATATTTACTCTTTTGGTGAAAATGTAAATATTTTAAGCACCTTTAAGCCTCTTTCCTTCAATTCTGTTTTCTCCTAGATGGCACAAGATTTTCTTTTTTAAAGAGATACAAAGAAAGTGAAGCCAATGAACTCTGTCTGGAAATGAGGGAATATTTACCTAAGAAGCAGTAAGTACCCACACTGTTTCTAAATTGGAACACATTTGGTATTGGAGAGAGCCAGACAGACAGTAATTATATCTACACTAAATACTTTCAGTAAACGTATTAAACATGTAGTAAATGTCAACAGATATAAATAATTTTTATAATTATAATATTCCACTGTGCTCCAGGGCTTGTAAAGATAATTATTAGGAATTTTCTTCATTATTTGGAATTTTAAAAACAGTTTATGCTCTTTGCTGCTAATGTACTTTCAGCAGTTATTGAACAAAGAATCATTTAAATCACTCACATTACAATTATTTCTTTTCTTTAAAATTGTGTAAGCTCCAAGAAGGTAAGGACTGTTTTTTCTGGTTCACTGCTGTATCCCCAGCATCTGTCACAGTTCTTGACACATGGCCAATGTTCAATAAATGCTTGTTGAATGGATAATACCACACAGTTTTAATGGGATAGCTATAATTGTTTGTATTTGGAATTTAAGTTCTTAAAAGTGCGGTCTGTGGGTTTCAGGGTCTGTAGAGTATCTAATCTTATGCACGTCAGCACTCAATATCACTTGTAGGCAGTGCTGTGCTGGTAAATATGTGTGGAGTAAATCTCCCACCAAGTCCGAATTCAAGCTACCAACCTGATGTTCCTGAACTTGGAGCTGGGAAGAGATGTGGGCATTGGCTCTCGGGAGCCCGTATGAGCTGGCTCCAGTGCACCGCTGCCCAGGAGGTGTCAGTCCTCACATACTCTGCCCAATCAAGCTTTAGATATTGAGACCTTCGAACTGTAGATCTAATAAACTCCCCTCCTAAAACAATCCTGACCAACCCTGGCATTTTACCAGGAGGTCTATTTCCACCAGAAGATGGGAGTCTGTAACTAGTCTTGTTGCCACAATCCAGTAGTTCTCACAGTGAAGTTCCAAGATCAGCAGCATCGGTATTACATGGGAACTTTCTACGAAACTCCCAGGCAAATTCTCTGTTCCCACCCCAGACCTATCTATCCAATCAGGAACTCTGGGAATGAGTGGAGGAATCTGTGTTTTAAGCCCTCCAGGTGATTCTGATACTTAAATTTGAAAACCACTGCTCGAATCCAATATTCAGTGGGCCTGAGGCAAGCTCCACAGGCACGTGCATTTTCAACCAGCTGCGATCTTTCCCTCTTATATCCATGTAATTCCAGTCAGTTTGACTTAGTTTCTGCCCCTTTCCATGAATCTTAGTCCACTTCTCTGAAGGAACTGGTGTCTTGGCCTAAACCACAATTAGAACCCTTGAAAATCAGATTCAGATGCCAGCTGAGATGGAACCAGTTACCCATAACCCGGACAGCAATGTTAGTCTTCCTAGCCCAGTTGCAACTCCTTCTCCAGTAGCTTTCCAGTAAGCTTCCATCCTAGACTCCACAGATTTTGGCTCTAGGCTCAAATATCTGGAAAACTTAAGCGACAAATATGATAGTATTTTTTTTCTGTTGTCTACTTTTTCTCACAAACTCTCTAAAAAGGTGATCTAAGTATGAGTTTAGAGAGCCTCTAAAACAAAATGTAGGCTTAAAAAGTGTGCCCTACAGCTGCTGTAGAACGATTAACATATAATGAAGCCATATCTCCAATGATGACTTTCTTAGTTGTCATATTATTTAAGCACTAAATCCTGGGGCTTCGTCCTAGGAAAGGCACTTCCCAGGGGCTCCTTCCTTTATCCTGTCCAGGTCTACCACATAAGTATAGGATATATGCTAACAGGATATATGAATATAAAGCACTAAGAAAAAGAGAAAATAAAGCTTATATTTTAAGTCACCAGAAACCACAAACAGTAATACAAATTAGTAAAGTCCTTGAATTATGAGATGTGAAAGAAATTAACAGGATCTTAAAGAAATAGAATTATATATGTTTAAAATTCAGTAAAAATAGAAAATGTAACCCAATATATTTTCCCACTATTAAGATGCTGTAGTGGACATCTGTTACTTTTGCTCCTGAAGAATCATTCACCACTCGGTTTGTGACAAAATATACTATAATTCTCCTTGGGGAAACTGTCCCTCTTCTACTCTGTTTATGTGCTTAGGGTGGATCTGAGTCCATCTCAAGCTCTAGGCGAAGCCACCTATGTCACTTGATCCTTGCCATTGAGAAAATCACATTTCCACAATGACTGATTCAGAGATGGGCACATGGCCCAGTTGGAGCTAGTGAGAGTTTTACTGGGTTGATTGAGAGAAAAGCAAGTGATCTTCCCTGTTGGACATTTGTTTACCCAAGAGGGTCAAGCTG